CACTGTTAACAACTTTTCCATCAGAAAACCGAAATGAACACTGCAGACGTCCTTTGGTGTCACCCATGTTTTCCAAGCTCACCTGAAAAAGCCTTGTTCATCTCTCTGAAACCCTACCCTACCTGATCCGGTTCAGACTCACATTGAGGAAATCGGCAGTAGTAATCTGGATCTTATCCGGTACCACTCCTCTGATGCTGAAAAGCAATCAATTTGGATTCAACATCTTCTAATCGAACGAGTTTTAGCCTTAATCCCTTTTCGGCGGGTGCAGCGCAATCCAACAAATCCCCTCAAAAGAAACTCCGTGAACTTCCAACACTATCCGGATCAACTCACTTCGGACAACGATTGTTTTGGAAATCCAGCCAACCGCTGCTTGTCTTCGGCAAAACTCGCTCGCAAGTGTCCTCTTCGGTACAGATGCTGTTCTTCACACACCAACCACAAAACGGGTCTCGCTTCGCCAGACATGCAACACACGTCGCCGCTCCTTCACCACAGTTCGACGTTCGCATCTTCACCACCTGAAACGAGTTCAATTCAATGGTTCACGTCAAACTTCTGGACAGTCTATTCCTAGTGGGATGACTGCAGCCTACAAGGATAATCGTATACGATGAAATAAAAGCCAGAAAGAGAGCAGTCTTCTTCTTTAAAACTTAACCGAGTATGAGACACACATTCAAGTTATAGTTGAAGTCTTTCAGGCGCAAAAAAAAACAGCTTTTCTTCGCTTGAAGCTTTCTTGCAAGTTTCGCTCAGCGGGATGGGTGCATAGTCTCCGGGTGAAATCATAGGGTTTTTTGGCGCTGATGCTGACAAAGCAACTCACTCTTCTGAGTTCGAACAGTGACGCCACACCACGGTAGAAGTATAAGGAATTTACGTATAAGATGGATACCGCAAATTGTTTAGGTGATATAAGTTTTACAGTTTCGTGGCAATTTAGAGCAGAAATAGGACGCATGGAGTGTCCCAAAAATGATAATCACCAATATCTACCAGCGCTTTTCGCATTTTCTACTGATGGTGAGAATAATCCTCCCAAAGACCTTTAGCTTCACTGGAGAAAGGACGAGCAGTCTGTAGAATAAGAAAAAAAGAAAGTGATATAATGGGGAAGTGAAGAATACATGTTACTAATGTACAACCTTCGACCCTCCCCCCCCCCCCTCCCCAATGTGCCACTAAAAAACATGGTCCTAGCAAAAAAAAGTAGAAGCATGTATTTTAGGCGGAAATAAGCATAACATTGATAAACCTCATCAGATCACTGATAATGAATTTTAGTAACAATTTTTATCACTTTGACGATTCGCAGGCCTATTCTCTAGCAAATACCAAGCAAGAAATCACATCTTCATCCCTTTCAAATCGCTTTTTCGCTACCGATTTATTTTGGGAGGCTGAGAACACTGTTTTACGCAAGAGCAATTTCTCACAAGACAACGTAACCAAAATCGCATCCGGCTGCCGCTCGATTCCGTATGAAATTTTAATGCGTGGCGCATTCCAAAAATAATTGACCAAGTCTTTTTTCCACCTTCACCTCTTATTTTAGACTTATAATGAGTATTTTATTCCTACGCCGGTCCGCATTTCACAGATCCCTCACTCTTTTTCCGTCGCAACACTAGACCCTCCACTACACTACTATCTTCATTGTGCTCGTCTAGCACCACTCAATCGCATTTCAACTACTAAATTCGAGAAAAGCTCTTTAGTGCTTCAAAAGGGCGACGAGCCTCATAATGTACACGGTCATCCATTGTTCGTTGTCTCCACGCGAACATCCATCGCTTCTAGTGCCTGATGTGGTAATAGCATTTTCCGTTCGTCGACGAATTGGTGCTCGCGTGCTGCTTCCGCATTTCCGGCATGATGGCCACGACAGCGATGTTCGCAATTCGAAAAATCTTTTTCAGAATTTATTGCAACGCCCTTCAGCTACCAGTACAATTTTGCATGGGTACTTTTTTTACAGAGTCACAAATAGGGCAACACAGAGCATAGCGCCTCCGGAACGTACCGCTGGATAACGTGTGGTGAGAAATCTCTGTCAGCGAAGAACCACTACGACTCCTCGACATATCTGGAGTTTTTCATTAACGAGACAAGCGTCTTCAGGGTAGTGCCCGCCAAAATAGCTTTCTTGCATGACATTGGGGCACATGTGGAGAACCACAGAACCATGGTCCGTTTTTCCTGAACGGCCCTCTGAATACCAAAAAAGGGGTCCCTAGTTCGATTCCTCGGTGACAAATTTTTTTGCATTTCGAGTTGACGTTTCAAAATTCGCGCAAAATGGAGTTAGCATGAATCAATGAATTCCATATTCATAATTAGGACATCAGTAACCCTTACAAAAAGACTTTGATTAAAAACTGGTGAAAAAGGTGTGACACCAAAACGGCGCCCCACTGTGATGCCAACACTTTCCGACAAGGTCTTTAATTCAGATCTACTGTAATAGGTTACAGACGGCCTAATTATGAATATGGAATTCACCTGAACAATCAGAACTCCCATTTTGCGCGAATTTTGGAACGTCAACTCGAAATGCAAAAATTTGTCTTACCACGAGGAATCGAACTAGGGACCCCCTTTTCTGGTATTCAGAGGGCCGTTCAGGAAAAATTGAACATGGTTCTGTGGTTCCCGCATCCCCCCCATCCAAGAAACCGTTTTGAAAAAGCTTGGCACACCGTGACCGACCTCCATTGTTAAGCCCGTCGCAAGATCCTAACTACTCTTACTTATCGGAATGGTGACAACTTATTCCCTGACCTTGGAAGGTTCGATCAAGGTGTTACTTAGACGCCCGAAGGGAGACAGGAAGGGCATGCATAGTACCACAGTCCAAAACTCGGAAATTCCCAAAAACTTCCTAATGAAGTTCTCAATATCTCGGGGAGGGAATTATTTTTTAACTTTCACACCTTCAGGGAAGACCCTTACCACTTTGCTTGTCGGGTACTCGCCCTTTTCCCAACGCTTTTCCTGAGAAAATTTGCAGCCTTCCCCTCATACACTCTCACCTGCGTCCAAGCGAGGAGGTTATGTTGGGGAAACCAAACCTACTACTTCTTGCTCACATTTTAACAGCCTGTTATAAAACTCGACAGATAGAACAAGAAGGGGCAAAACCCTTCGAAAAAAAAAACAGGTGACAGCGAAGGCAACGAAAAATTTGTTATGAAAATGGGCCCAATTTCAAGAAACCCATCAAAGCGTTTTAAAGGGAACAAACAAAACCATTTTTCGATCGATCTTCGTGCTTACTTAGTGTCTACCGCAGGTAGAATTCGAAGCGCAGGTCATATATCTACTACCAGCCGCTGATTTCTGCGCTACTCCCGCAGCAGACAAGAGCTCTTAACCTCCTTCGAGCGATTACAAGTAGCCATCAAGTTCTTCAAGGACACCCGACGAGGTCGAGCAAACACGGCTGTTATCAAAAGGTGAAGGACTTTCTGATCAACTCATTACACGTTCGACCACCAAATTTTATCAGCTGCCAACTCGCTCAGTTTACGGCATCGCCCTACTTAAATATCCTACGCCTCCGTAGTACCAGCTGGAAGAACACAGAAGCCGAGAGGCTACAGAACCTCCCAGAGCTAATGGCTTCTATTTGCTTGAAGGTTGTAGTACGCCATGGGCATCTTGACAAGGCCGACAAAGTTCTATAAAGAAGAGACCCTTATCTCCTACAAGTCCAAAATTAGACCCGCATGCTGATTCCCGCGAATTCAACCATAAACCCTCCCCAATACAGTCCTATGAGCCGGATTCCGTTTCCGCCGCTATGTCTTTGGACAAAGCCCATTGGATAAACATCGTACGACAGCCGTCCGCGGCTAATGAGTACACTGTCGATCAAGGACTTCAGCATCGCCATCGGAACCGGCCGGTTCACCATTGGACAGCTGCCAATTCCGTTTATCACAAACTCCAGTCGGCTGCACGCTTTTGAGGTGCCCGAAACAAACCGAAAACAATTGGGAAAGCGTCTATCCGACCAATTTCGCCTTCGAACATACTCTTACCCAAAGAACAACCACACCACTCAA